TTTATTTATTTGACAGAGAAAGACACAGCGAGAGAGGGAACACAAGCAGGGTGCGTGGGAGAGGGAGAAGCAGGCCTCCCGCTGAGCAGGGAGCCCGATGCAGGGCTTAATCCCAGGACCCCGGGATCATGACCTGAGCCGAAGGCAGACACTTAACGACTGAGCCACCCAGGTGCCCCTGTGGAGTTATTTTTGACTGCTAAATGGTTCTTTAAAGATTACAGTATTCAATTTTACTATTTATTCTTTAGTCAATTTCAGCAAGTTATATTTTTCTAGAAATTTGTATCTTCTAAGTGTTCAAATTCAGTGACATAAAATTGTTCGTAATAATCTCTTACAATTTTTCATTGTCTGCAGGATCTCTAGTGATGTCTTGTTTTGAATTCCTGATATTGATTTTTTGTACTTTTTCTATTTTTAAGTTCTTGGCCAGGCATGCTGGAAGACTCACATTGGTATTGTTTTCATTATTCTTTTCCAAGAACCAACTTTTGACTTTATTTATTGTGTCTATTGTATGTATCCTTTTAAAATTAGGTTTTGCTCTTGTTTGTATAATATCCTTTCTTCTTTTTTTTTTTTAAATCTGGTTTTATTTTTAAATTTAACTCTATGCCCAACATGGGCTCAAACTCACAATCCTGAGATCAAGTCATATGCTCTAGCAACTGAGTCAGCCAGGTGCCCCTCTTTTTCTTTTCTTGGGTTTATTTTGATGTTCTTTTTCTTGTTTCTTGAGATGCTTAAGTCAGTATTAATCCTTTTTATCCCAATATAAGCACTTAAAATATTCACCTCTATGTCCTATTAAGTAAAATTTTAAAATTAAAGTATAGCATCCGTACAAGAAAGTGCAGAAGCCATACACACTTGATAAATTTTCACAAAGTGAACATGCCTCTGTAATCAATATCCATATCAAGAAAATAAAACATTACAAGCACTTGAGAAGCCTCCCTCCTGTATTCTTTAAGTCATTATTCTACAAAAATGCAATCATTTTTCTGACTTCCATATCCATAAGTTTGTTTTGCTTGTTTTTGAACAGTTGTTGATAAATACCTCTTAACTTTTTAATGTCCATAGAAACTACAAGGACGTCTTTTTTATTCTGGATATTGATAACTTATTTTTTCCCTCTTTTTTTCTTGATAAGTCTTGCTAAGTGTTTATTTTATTGATCTTTTCAAAGAACCAACTTTGGGGTGCCTGGATGATTCAGTCAGTTAAGTGGCTGACTCTTGATTTCAGCTCAGGTCATGATCTCAGAGTTCTGGGATCAAGCTCTGCATCCAGCTCCCTGTTGGGCTCTGTGCTTAGCAGGGAGTCTGCTTCAGGTTTTTCTCTCTCTCTCTTTCTCTGCCCCTCCTCCCTTGCACATTCTCTGTCTCTCAGATAAATAAATCTTTTTTTTTTAAAAGAGCCAACTTTGACTTTGCTGATTTTCTCTATTCTTATTTTTTTAAGATTTTTTTAAAAAGATTTTATTTATTTATTCGAGAGAGTGAGAGAGAGAGCACAAGATGGAGGAAGGTCAGAGGGAGAAGCAGACTCCCTGCCCAGCAGGGAGCCCGATGAGGGGCTGGGAGTTAAATAGTTAAATAGTTAAATTTGTTCTATCCTGGGACTCCTGGATCATGAGCTGAGCTCAAGGCAGACGCTTAACCGACTGAGCCACCCAAGCACCCCTAAGATTTTATTTTTAAGTAATCTCTACACCCAACATGGGGCTTGAACTCACAACCCTGAGATCATGAGTCACATGCTCCAACAACTGAGCCAGCCAGGTGCCCCTCTATTGTATTTTTTCTTTCAATTGCAATGATATCTCCTCTTACCCTTATTTTTTTTCCTTTTTAAAAACTTGTGTGTGTGTGTGTGTGTGTGTGTGTAGTTTGCTGTTCTTATCTGACAATAAGGCTGAAAGCCTAGGTAACTGATCTTAAGTTTTTTCTTTTTCAAGAAATTTATTTTAGAGCCATTGATTCCTCCCCACTCAGAATTATTTTAACTATACCCCAAAGGTTTCATATGTTGTGTTTTCATTTTCATCTAGCTCAAAATATTTTTTTATTTCCACTGTGCTATTTTAACTTATAGGTTGTTTGAAAATATGTTGCTTAATTTTCAAACACTGGAGATTTGTATTGATCTTTCTGCTTTTTTTGATGTATTACCTATTGCCATGTAATAAACTCCCCCAAAATGTAGCAGCTTAAATTATCAAGAAACGTTTATTATGTCACTCTTTCAGTGGGTCAGGAATCTGGGAGTCGCTTAGCTGGGTGATTCTGACTTCAAGTCTCTCAGTATGTTGCAATCAAGCTATGGGCCCCATCTCTTTTAAAGGGTCAGCTGGGGGAGAATCTATTCCCAAGCCAGCAACTAAGGTTGTTGGCAGTCCTCAGTTCCTCTTTGGCTGTTGGTCAAATACTTTAGTCCCTCCCTACATGAATCTATTCTTGAGTTACTTGAGTATCCTCATGGAATAGCAGCTTCCCCCAGAGTGAGCAGTTGGGGTAGGGGGTGAAGAAACATGTTCTCTAGTCTTTTATAACCTAGTCTCACTATCACTTCTGCTATATACTTTTGGCAGAATTCTGGTAAATGTGGAAGGGGACAAACACTTAGGCTAAGTTTACTAATTGTGTTGTTCAAATCTACTATGTCCTTACTGATTTTTGTTGTCTGTCTGAAGATTTTGTCTATCAGTTAGTGAGAGAAGTGTGTTAAAATAGTCAGCTAAAATTATCTATATCTCCTTCTACTTCTGTCAAATTTGCCTTCTATTATTTTTTTTTTTAGATTTTCTTTCTTTATTTGAGAGAGAGAGACAGAGATAGTGAGAAAGAGCACAAGTGGGGAGGAGAGGGAGAAGCAGGCTCCCTGCAGAGCAAGGAGCCTGATGCGGGACTCAATCCCAGGACCCTGGGATCATGACCTGAGCCGAAGGCAGACGCTTAACTGACTGAGCCACCCAGGCGCCCTGCCTTCTATTATTTTGAACCCATTTATCAGGTACATACAAATGTGTTGTATTTTCCTTTGACTTGACTCTTTTATCAATATAAAATGGATTTTCTATGTGAACAACCCCGCTTTCTGTTAATAGAAAAAGGTATTAGTATTTACTTTCTAATTTTAATAACTCTTATTTCTTCACCTTATTACACTGGCTAGGATTAAAATCTCAGAAAAAATGTTGAATACAAGAACTGAAAGTAGAAAATTTTCTTTCTTAATCTTAAGGAGAAAGTGTTCTGTATTTCTTTTCTTAGGTGCCCTTTATCATATTGATTAAGTTCCCCTTTATTTCTCATTTTCTGAGAGTACTAGGGAAATAATTTTATCAAATGCTTTTTCTGGATCTATTGAGATGACCATATCCCCCCCCCCCACCTTTTTCTGTTAATATGGTTAATTATATTGGATGGTATTTTTTAAATGTTAAACATACCTTGCATTCCAAAATAAACCCCATTTAGTCATGTCGTATTATTCTATTTATATATTTCTAGATTCTGTTTGCTAATATTTTGCTGAGAAATTCTTTTTGTCTGTGTTCATGAGGGATATTGGTCTGTGGCTTTCTTTTCTTGCATTGTCAGGATTTGGAATCAGAATTATTCTAGCCTTATAGGATGTGCTGAGATATGTTCATTGTTCCTAGTTTCTGAAAGAGTTTGAGTAAGAGTGGTGATATGTTTCCTTATATATTTTATAAAAATCACTGTTGAAACTCCCTGAAGTTTTCCTAATGGGAAGATTTTGGTAATGAACAAAATTTGTTGAATAGATATAGACCTGTTCAGATTTTCTGTTTTTTCTCATGTCGGTTTTGGTGTTTTATTTTCATAGATTTTGTCCATTTCATCTCATTTGTCAAATATATTGGCAAAAATGTTTATAAATTGTGTATAGCATTCTCTCTCTTTTCTTTTTTTAGAGTGAGAGAGAGCAGGAATGGGGAGGGGCAAAGGGAGGAGAGAGAATCTTAAGCAGGCTCCATGCTTAGCACAGAGCCTGGCACGGGGCTCAATCTCACAACCCTGAGATCATGACCTGAGCCAAAATCAAGATTAGAATGCTTAACCGACTGAGCCACCCAAGCACCCCTATAGCATTCTCTTTTAGTCTTTTAAACATGTGTAGATCTGTGCTGATACAGTATTTTTATTTCTATTATTCATCTGTGCTTTTTCTCTTTTTTGTGATGACTCTTGTAAAGGGCTTATCAATTTAATTTAATTTTCAAAGAACCAACTTATGGATTTGGTAATTTTATCTGTTGTTTGTTTTCATTGATTTCTGTTCTGCGATTATAACTTCCTTTCTTCTACTTACTTTGGATTTGTTAAAGTGGAAACTAAGATCATTTAATTTTAAGACTTTTCCCTTTTTAACACAAGCTTTATATTTCTCTCTAAGTACTACTTTATTTGCATCCCACAAATTTTTATATGTTGAATTTTACTTATTCAGTTTGAAAGTGTTTCTAATTTTCTTTATGATGGATAGGTTATTTAGAATTTTCCTGTTCAATTTTCAAATACTTGGGGATTTTTTAGACATTTTACTGTTACTGATTTCTAATTTAATTTTACTGTGATCAAAGAATATACTCTGTAAGACTTAAGTCTTTTGAGTAAGTATCTGACAGCCGTGAATCCCAACCTCTTTTTCCTCAGCCTAGTAAGACTGCTGATTTCTGCTTGGGCTCTATTCACCCATAACATGATATAGAAAGTATCCTTAGGCCAAAAGCTGGGGTGAATGTGAAGCAACTTCCTGTGCTTCCCGTCTATCAAAGATCGTAAACTTTTAAGTTGTGCTTGTATTGGTTGTTCCTCTGGTCTTCAAATCACTCTTATTTATTTTGTACAGCTTTCATAGTTGTGTTTGGTGGGAGGATTGTTCTGGGACAAGCTACTTTGTCATGGTTGGAATTGGAAGTTTCCCAGTGATTTAAAATTTATTCTAATTATTGTCACATCTAGTGCCACCAGGAAAGAGATATTCTGGAAGCCCTCTGCAAGAAACTGTTCTCACAACACAAAGGACTTGCACAATTAACATGTAAAGAAATGGGCTCTGTTGGTCCAGGGACATTGATATTTTCTAGGACCTGGTCTTTGCATCTGGGCTTGCAAAAGAACCAGAATGTAATCTGTGGTGCTCTTCTAATTGCCCAGGGCTATCCACTAGTCCTACATACCTTCTTCAGGGTACTAAATAAAGAGTTAACAGGCTACTCTTTGCAAGCTGCCTTCACTTTAAAGCATGAACTGGTAAAAATGGGTGGTTACACTGGGAAGGTGTCGTGCCAAAGATCTTCTACTTGAGTGAAGAGCTTTCCATATTGACTGAAGACAATGCAAGTTCTTTTCACTGATATAAGCGCCCAGATATTTTATCCCGAATCCCACAATCTTGAAACCACCCAAACAGTAAGAGACTTGAATCAGGCCCTTTATACAGTCCTGATGACATTTTTTGAGAGACCAGTTTACTTCTGAGATTTGTCAACACCTCTTAGATGACCAGTATGAAATATTTTCAGAGGAATGACACAAAGATGTTTAAATCTTTTCCAAGTATCACCTGAATCATGGCAACTGGACCAGACTACAAAGATGTTTTTCATTGTATAATCAATGATATCTTTAATTCTGTAAAAATATGCCTTTGAAAAACTTTGCAAGGTAAGAAACTTGTTGGGATGTTAGAAAATCAAGTTAGTCTTTGCTTCCTCCTAAATGATCTTCATAGATGTTACTTAAGGGTTATTTAGGAACATTAATTTGTTAATCATTCTGTGCACAGTTTCTTATTTACTCTCTGCATAGTTCATGGATAGATTTTCTTCCAGTTTTAAATTGGGGAAAATTGCAATACTTTTATTTTTAACAACAACAACAACAATGGAAATTTCCCAGGATGTAGACAGAAAACCTTTATTACTTAGAAAAGATTGGGGCACCTGGCTGGCTCAGTTGGTAGAGCATACAACTCTTGATCTCAGGGTCATGAGTTTAAGCCCACATTGGGCCTAGAGCTTACTTTAAAAAATTAAAAAGAAAAGAAAAGAAAACATCATCATTGATGACGCTCACAATTTCCATAATGAAAATGAAGAAGGTAAAATTTATTATCCCTTCCCTCAAAATCTCCTGATCTTCATGGACTACCTTTACACTCTTCAGGTGGAGGAGTTACAGCTTTTTTAACTGCTCAGCTAGCATCGTAAGAACTCACCAGAATGGTCACTTTCTTTTTCTGTAAGCAGTTATGAATAAGGTGAATTGAAAAAAATCCAGAAAATTCTCTTTAACATAGTTTTGGAGGAAAACAGCCAGAGCATTAGTAGAAACCCTTTCAAACAATGACTATTTTCATCAAGAAGGGGAAGGAACACCAGAGTTTGACATTTTCCAGTCATCTAAGATGAGCTGGGAGACTAAGATGAAGCTTAACAGAGCTGGATGCACCTTTGACTACGTGTTGTGAATCCATGTGTAAGACATTCAGTTAGGATGAATTTAGTGGGATCTTGGAACAGAGAAGAGAACCCAGGTTCACCAGCAAGGCTTCAGCCTTCTCTATCACTATGTTCAATGCCAGAAGAAGTAAAGCAATGCATACAGAATTCTGGGGAAAATTAAGTTTTACATAACCATATTTTACCAAACCAAGATATCATTTGACTATGAAGTAAATAAGCAAACACTTTAAAAAAAAGATTTTATTTATTTATTTGAGAGAGAGTGCAAGCATGAGCAGGGGGTAGGGGGGGAAAGGGAGGGGAAAAAAGAAAAGTAGAGGAGAGGGGGAAGCAGCCTCCCCACTGAGCAAGGAGGCTGATGAGGGGCTGCATCCCAGGACCCTGAGATCATGACCTGAGCTGAAGGCAGACACTTAACCAACTGAGCCACCCAGGTGCCCCAATAAGCAAACACTCTTATCAAAGAATCTAGGGGACATAGTTCTCTAATATCTTCTTGAAAAACTACTTTGTAGTGAAGTCCAGCTGATGAAATTATGAACCAAAATAAAGAATACAAAAAAAAAATGTATGAACACACTTACTCCCCGAGTTTCTCCAGTGCCAAACCCCAGCTGTGTTTCCCCCGCCCTGCCCAGCACAACAGGCCAGCTGCCAGGGTGCAGACCTTGCACAGGAGCCCTTACACAAACTGCTAGTGTTCAGTGATGTGGGCATAGACAAGACCAGCATCATCAAGAACTACATGCACCAGAACTCCTCGCACTACCAAGCCACCATTGGCATGGACTTGGCACTCAAGGTTCTCCACTGGAACCTGCAGACCTTGGTACACCTGGCACATTGCAGGTCAAGAACGATTTGGAAAAATGACAAGGATCTATTACCTGGAATCTATGAATTGTTTATTGTCTTCAGTATCAGTAGGCATCCATATCTGAAACAGAGGCAAATTGGAAAAAAAACAATTTGGATTCAAAGTTAACCAATGGGGAAAAAAAGAGTTAACCAATGGCAACCCAGTTTCAGTGGTTCTGCTGGCCAAAAAAAAAATGTGACCATGGGAAGAATGTGCTGATGAACAATGAGACCAGTTCATGGTACATGATATTATAGGATGATTTGAAACATCTGCAAGGAAACTGTAAACACTGATGAAGCCTCCAGATATCTGGAGAAACATTAAAATACACCCAGGATTTTAATTTATTTTAATTTATGGAGGTAACAGGGAAATGTTTTCTAGAAGGCATAAGGGGAGGGCTGTTAATCTATTGGAATATTTAATGTCTTATTTTTATTGGTAGTAACACAAGTATGTTTATGAAAATGTATTGAGCCATACACTTGTGATATGTATACTTTTAAATATGTATGTTACACTTAATAAAAAGTTGAAATGGAATATAAGTGAATTGTCATGGAAAGAAGGCTTGAATGTATGCACACGCACACACTAGTAGTATTTGTATGTGACCAAGGGGAATGAGTGATTATGTCAGAGATGCAGGGCAGAAGGTCATGGTGGACAACTGGAAGGATTAGTAGAAGGCATTGCGAGTGAGTTGTCCTTTCCCCAGGGGATCATGACGTTGACTAATATGAGGCAGATGCCTTTGGGGGAAAGCAATAATCTTCATTGATTTTTACAATAGCATAGATAGTAGTAACTTCTATCAGATTTTCCTTTAGGCATGGGAGTATAGGGGTATACAATTTGGCAGAAAGCAAGCAGTATACCAGGATCATGGGCTAGGCAGACAGTGAGCTCAGAAACATAATAGAATCTCTAATATCAAAAGAAGAAAAAGCAAAAATTTCCTGTGTTCAATTTGCTCCTTAGGAGATACAGTCTATGGATGTTACTGAAGCAGAGGTTTTAGTGTTTGAGGCTGAAGTTGTTCTCTAGCACAGGAGGCGAAGTTATCTACCACAGCAAGGTCTTGGGCAGGGGTGGTGTTGTCTGAGGCAAAGTCATCTCCAACCATGAGTTCTTGGCCAGGACAGTGTCATCTCGGAAATGGGAATTAGGCATTTTTTCTAAGTGGGTACCTACTTGGGTTGCTGTAGGTCTCAGCATTAACTATATTTGCTTGAAACAATGGCTTGCTTGGAGGGTTTGGGCCTCTGGATTGTAAAGCAATGAAAGCACCCAATCTGTGCTAATAAGATCAACAGACATCAGGTGTGTAGGTAGGCAGCTGCATTTGATAGGGTTTTTTTTGTTTTATTTGCCTGTTTATTTTGTGGTGGAATTTTTAAAAATATTTTATTTATTTATTTGAGAGAGAGAATGGGAGGGAGAGGGAGAGAGAATCTGAAGCACATTCCGCGCTGAGCAGAGCCAGTCGTGGGGCTCGAGTCCCCAAATGCAAGATTGTGACCTGAGCCGAAACCAAGAGTTGGATGCTGAGCCACCCAGGCGCCCCTATTTTGTGGTGGAATTTTAGGCTCACATGAGTGCCATATCAGGTAAGTAGCTGCCTGTCCATGGGATAATCAATGTTAATTGGTCCCAGGAGAATGTGCATCCTGGATTTGGCCTTCAGCCTTTATGGAATGGGGCAAGATTGAAAATTTATAAAAATAGGTTAAGGCCCAGGGTAAGATAAAGACATATCTAGAGGACTACTTATTGGACTGGAAATTTAAAAGGAATTATTTGAGGAGGTCATTGTTTCTCAGTTAAACAGGCTATTTGGACCTACTAGGAAAATGAAAGTTCTATTGAATGCCTCCTGCAAGAGCCCAGCATTGTTTATTTTGCCAAGTGAAATGTATGCATTGTTTATTACCAATAAAGTCTATAACTCTGAAGAGACTAAGAGTGTTCTGGCAAGATCTCATATTGTGGCTTTAGTATATGTAGAGCCACAGATGATTTTGATTTATATTTTGAGTACCTGTGAGGTAAGGGATTTATGGTCCTTGTCCCAAACACCAGCAAAAACAATGAAGCAAAAAAGTCTGGTGACTTCAAATGTGAATTGTAGGATATGTTGTTGCCCAGGAGCCTATTCTAGAGGATAGCTGAATGGTTTTATAGTCTGCAGCTGAGGGGTTATGTCAGAAAGCCATATACATCATCAAAACTTATGAGCTAGTGCCACCCGGGTGGCTCAGTTGGTTAAGTATCCAACTCTTGATTTCAGCTCAGGTGGTGATCTCAGGGTTGTGGAACAGAGCCCTGTGTTGGGCTCTGCGCTGAGCGGAGCCTGCCTAAGATACTCTCTCTCCCTCTTCCTCTGCCCTTCCTCCCCACCTCCCCCTGCCTTGCTCGCTCACTCTCTCTCTCTCTCACATGCACATGCACTAAAAAAAAAAAAAAAAAAATTTGTGAGCTAAAGAGACACTCTCCCTGTGACAGCCTCCCAGGGGAGACAGAGGCAAGTGGGACATGGCCTTCTAGCAATACCTCCCATCCTCCTGTGTTCTGGAAGGATCACAAAGCATTCCGTCAAGATTCAGATTGGCTGCAGTTTAAGCCTTTGCCTCTATGGCCTCAGTAGACACATTCCAAAAACCATAAGTAAAAAATAAAAACACCAAAAACCAGAGTGTGATTCCTTATACTCCTACCCCATTCTTGCCCCAATTCAAGTCTTTCTGAAGCAAAGGCAGACTGAGAAAAACTGCATAGAAGAGAGAAGGAAGCTAATGACAGAAAAAAATGTTGACCTAAAACCATCACCAAGGGATGCCTGGATGGCTCAGTCGGTTAAGCATCGGCCTTCGGCTCAGGTCATGGTCCTGGAATTGAACCCCGCACTGGGCTTTCTGCTCAGTGGGAAGCCTGCTTCTCCCTTTCCCACTCCCCCTGCTTGTGTCCCCTCTCTTGCTGTGTGTCTCTCTCTGTCAAATAAATAAATAAAATCTTCAAAAATAAATAAATAAATAAATAAATAAATAAATAAATCCATCACCAAAAAGACTTAGTGAACTCTAAGTCTGAAAATACTTTTAAAAAGTATCATTGTAGATCAGAGCACGTATTATAGCTTAAGGACTTAATAG